TTTATTGAGACAGATTGTAATATTTATCAATAAACAAATAAAATATAATATAAAAAAAAATAAATGGAAGGAAATAATTGGATAGCATTGGTAAATTACTGCAAGTCTGCTTCCTCCTATAGAATAATGCCCTTTAACCCATAATAATGCACCAAAGAATTAAACAATTAATAAATTGGAGAATTTTGGTACCACTCTTTTTGTAATTAAAATAGTTATATAACTTTTACATTATAAATATAATTGTTCTTATTTTCTTATTAATAAGTGGTATATAAATCGATTGAAATATAATTATGTTATAAAACACATATTCCTCTGACGGTCAACAGACCTTGTATCACGTCTGATTTTCGGTTTTAAATCCAAAAATATTATTTTGTCTTGTAATTTATATTATGTAATTTTAATTAATAAAAAGACTTTTTCTTCTTCTTCATTTCAACTATAGTTTTTCGGTTCAGTCATTCATGCAAGAGGAAAGGATTGAATGAATGAACGTGATTAACGCAAGGTATTCAAACATAAAACACGATACAAGTAAACTAAGGTCTCACGTCATACGAGCCAAATATTTTATATTCTTGATCGATGAGTATATTTATAATGATCCGTTTCATTCCAATCCTGTACGATCAGATAATACAATTCAAAAACATCCATTGAACAGGTAGAAAAAGGCATTACAAACATTGCCTCAGCACCTTATCGGAGATCAAGTTGAGCCAAGTGTTTGTAGAGATAACATATCTTACAGTCAGTGACCCTTCTCATTCTCTCTTAAGTTCCAGGACAAAAAAAAAATATATTAACTATTTCATGGAAGATTCTTCTGTGGCCGCCAAGGAATATATCATAACGTCAAAGAGAAATATCAAATCCCAAACTAATGTATAAGAGATTAATTATTATTTAACTTCTGTACAAAGGACATCCGCTAAAGCTAAGCAAGCAAATTGAAACAGTTTCATACAATAAAAGAAAAATTTGATTTTTATATAAAACAGAAAAATGGATACCTTCATTTAACGGGCAGTCCTTTGAAGTTTGAAGCTATAATATATGTCAATTTTAACATAATTCTTGTAATACGAGTAGCGGGCTATAGAAAATTCGAGAAAAAAAATACAATATTTAATAAAAGAAAAATTGTTTATTAAAAAGATAAAACGGAACGAAATCCTGGTCTGAAGTATCTCTAAAAATCAATTCCATCGAGATCAATCAGGTAAGTAGCAACAAGAAATTTTAGTTATATATAGTTATATAGTTACTATATATAGCTATATAGTTATAGCCATCAAGAGGATCTAGAAGAAAAATTTTAGTAGAGTTTAAACAATTTTAAATTTACATTTCGCTTAGTCAATTTATACTTTACTCCACTATAAAGGAAGACCTTAAAATTTTGGGTCACCAACAAATATTCTATTTAAAATAGATATTAACACGATTGAAATAAAATAAAAATAGGGGGGAGGCGGCAAACGGGGCGCTTGGGTGGCAGAATTTAGGGGGCGACAAATTTCCAACGACTTTTTGTATTCAGATTGAATAAAAATATTGTTTTGCTTTTTGTTTTACCTTAATTCAGTCAGTATAAAATAAGTTTATTTGTAATGTGATGTTTATTTTTAAATACGTTACCTAAAATACTGTTATAAATCTAACTCACTAAAAGATTCAGGATTTTTTTGGGGGGAAGGAGGGAGAGCTTTAGCCCGAAATCATTTATATATATATATATATATATATAACCATAATTACAATACTTTGGAAGAAAAAGGAAGAAACTATATAAAGTGGTGCATTAGTGATCCTTGAAGTCCTATTAAAACTAATTACACGAAAAACAATTCTTTCAGATATAAATTTTAATATATTTTTTTTCATAAGACACGGTTATACTTTACCATTTTTGGGTTTTGGGGGAGGAGGCTTCAGCCCGAAAGCCCTCTCCCATACTAGTCCGTGGTACAGACCCCTTTTATCAAATTATTAACACCCGGCTGAAACTTCGTAAATAGCTTCATCTCATCGCACAAATGTTTTATTTACGAAAATTCTTGAAATTGGAGCGTTTTCAAAATGGAGGTCGGCAAACTTTCTGTTATTAACTAGGTATTAAAAACACGTAAATTCCCATTTGCTTTCCACTTTAATCGTAAGATAACTTGAGTACAAACCCGAAAAAAAAGGTAGCGTGAAAAAATATTGAGCTGTTTAGCGTGACCAACACCCCAAAAATTGTCAAAATAAAAAAGGTTTTATAGGCCAAATGGTTCAATATTTATGAAGGCCGCCTTTTTTGTCGACTTTGTGCTGAAGTTATCTTACGATTAAAGTGGAACGCAAATGGGTACTTACGAGTTTTTAGTACGTAATTAAACAGACAAAGTTTGCCGACCTCTAGATTGAAAACGCCAAAATTCCAAGAATTTTCGTAAATAAAATATTTTTAGTTTACGATGATATGAAGCTATTTACGAAGTTTCAGCTGGACGTTAATCATTTGATAAAAAGGGGTCTGTACCACGAACTATAGATTCCCTTACGATTTTACGTGTGTAATTTTATATGATTACACGTATTTTATAAAACTTATTTGTTAACCAAACAAATCGTGGTAAAAAACAAATTTATTTTTCCTGTTCCTTAATTTTTTATGTTATAACTACTTATTTTCACACCTGAAATTCTTTTTCCACTTCTCCAAACTGGCGTTCTGGGCAATGGCACAATCTGCCTCTTGAAAACACGGATAAAGATCAATTCCAACGGTGGTTTTCACCAACCAGACATGTTTATATTTTCTGTTTATTTTTTAGAAGAACAAAAAAAAATATATTTTTATATAATAGACTGTTTTCCCTTTCTTTCTTTTTTTTTTGTACGGATCATTTATTTAAAAAAGCATGAGTTGCTTCATATCAATGGCGGACATCTGTCATTTTCAGAAAAAGGAGAAAATGTCACTTTTTGTTTCATAAGTTCAAGCATAAGCAGTTTCTAATAATTTTATTTAAGAATGTTAAAGTTGAATCACGAAAAAAAAATCATTAGAATTTAAGATATAAGGGTAAATTGAAGCTATGTTACAAAAATTGGCTTTTTCTCAACTTTATAAAAATTACAGATATCCATCTTTGAATTGAGGTTACGCATATGTTTTATCATTGCTTTTTATTTTTTTCTAAAAGCTTCCATTTATACATGATACATACCGAAAACATATTAACGAAATCTTCCCCTCAATAAAATAAATCAAGGAATAGGTCAATACTTATATTTCATTTGAAGTAAAATAAATTAGTAATCATTAATTAGATGATTTAGTTATTAAAACCTTATTACCTAATACTGAAAATAGCATCGTCTCCATTAAATCAACTGAACGCTTTACTTGATAAATGGACGCAGCTGGGCCGATAAAATCTGGAATCTTGTTCTATAAAAAGTTGCTTATGCAGCTCCTTAACTTCCAAGTCTTGGAAAAACATGAAATATTCCACGTCATTGAAGAATATACCAAATAAAATTCTAACGGCAAAAGAAGACTTCAACCTTCTTATATTCAAAATTATTATGATTGACATCCAGGATGCTTAATCCCAAACAAATCAATCTAAAACCAAATCATGAAATATATACATCTTTGTTACCAAGGTTACAGTGTTATCTGATTATTTTCATAATTTGTAATGTTCTTATCAGTTATCATTTTTATTGACAAATTTTACTATCTTCCTAAGACCATGATGAGCAACGATAAACTTATCCACGATTTCATAAAAACAAAAAAATAAATAGAATTATAGCGAAATAAGCAAATGGAGTAAGAAGTAAACTATCTCATGAAAATATTAACATATAATAAAAAAATATAAAATATATTGAAATATACAATAAAAAAAATCGTAAAACAAATAAAAAACATTTTAGGTAAAATTTATAAAAACTAAATCTTCAAACCACTAACGGAACTACGAGGTGGAGGAGGGAGGATTTAAAAAAAATGGAGTATTTGTTTTATTGATCCATATTTTTTTCTGGCAATAATCTGAGGTGAATACGTAAAAAATCACAACACACTCTTTTTAAATTATAATGCTTATTATTAATATACAGCTGCTAAATAGAGATAAGTGTCAAGAAAAAAATATAAATGTATAAATATAACGTGTTATTATCACTTTTTAACACGTATTCAAGGACGACTTAAACATTCTATATAGTAATTACCGTTATAAAAAAAATTATTAATGCATTTATCTTCAAAATACATCAACATATTTCAAATAAAATGGAATTGTAGATAGCGACAGATCATTTAAATGTCTTTATTTACTGAAATTCGAGATGTAAAATGTTAAATGAACCTTTGAGCACACGGTTTTTTTAAGTGTGGTGTAATAAAGTTATTTTGTTTTCATCTTTTTCATACACCAGAACCAAAAACTGAATGATCAATGATAAAAAATAAAAAAATGTCGTTGTTGGAACAATCATAAGCGCAGACTTCGGAGGGAGGGGATGTTTGTTTGTACGAGGCAGAAAGAAAAATATATTAACTCCAATGTATATTAATTTGAAAAAAAAAAGAATTAAAATTGAACTATAGCAAAATAAGCAAATAGGTTTAGAAGTTAAGTATCTAATAAAATTTTAAGGATACAATAAAAACACATAAAATTTAATGAGGTATACAATATAAATACAGCCCTACTTAAAAACACAATATTATCTTAACCACCGAAAGGGGAAATAATAGGACACTGATTGCAAGCGACTTCTTGTTTGATATAAACATCTCTCATACCAATCTAACACGTCTTAATCCAACCTTGTAATTGAGTATGTAATAAAGCGGATCCCAAGCCGGTATTTGTGTTGGTGAACATTATGTAGATGTGCGTAAGGAATACCAAAGATATCGTAATGGTTATGGAAGTAATGGTAAAACACCATAGACAATACAATAATTCCCAAATAGTTCTTACTTCAATGAACCTTGCAGTTCGGTGGACTTCCAAGTCTTCGTCTTGGCAAGCTGTCTGATTGGCCGGTAGAGGATCTAAGTGAGTATGGTGCGGCAACTGCTTACAACAGGACAACGGGACCACAAGATCCGGAGCAGCCAACTCCCTCAATTTCCACCAAGACGTGACGAAGTCTTTGCCGCTAACTACGCCGCAGCAGCTGTACTGTAACAAATGTATCCTTGATTAGTAACACAATTCCATCGTTAAATGGAACGATAAACAAAAGTTTCATTATATACCATCTTTATTATATGTTGATAACTTTGGTAGCTGTATAATTTCAAAGTATTCCTCTTGTTTTGCTTAACATTGATAAAGACCTACAACTTAAGCCGAAACGTCAGTATATGTGTATGCTTTATTCTTGGATAGCACATCCTCAGACAAATTCTTCTTGAATCACATCTTCACTATTACTACTACAGAAGCTTGTAAATGTGGCTGTAAAGGTCGAAACGTATCTTTGTGTTAATATGGATGAATTCACAAGAAATGCACACCCTAACGTTTGGAGAACGTTTGGAATCCTACTTTGTAATTTCAGAGTAATGACCTATATTCACAGGGTCCCAAAGAAATTGTATATATATATAATTATAAATACTAAAGGGAAACATTTCACGAAGCATTCGTAAGAGATTCTACGGAGGAGGGCTCTGGTTTTGATCTCTCAAAACTAAAAAAACAAAAAAACAATGAACTTCTCGAAACACCGGGTAGTAAATATTAATGATATTACGATTTTGGCCAAAATAGCGTTCCAGACTTTCGGAGTATTATCTATTATAACCAGCAGGCTACGTTGATAAATTTATTAATTGTTTTAATTATTTTTTCTAAACTGATCAATCGTAATGAATACATTTTTTTTTATAGGAATGTTTATTTCTTTCAAATTTTAACTTTTTCTAAAATTATTTTATTGTTTTAGTACTCAATGACATTTAAAAGAGTTAGTTGCACAATCAGCGCAATTAAACAACCAAGTCATAATTCAACGAATATATTTAAATACAGTTTTCTCATAAATTATAGATTAGTATTGTTGCCTACTCCAAAGTAAAATATTTTTTAAAGACGAATTTAATTATTAAATCGCCTAAATTACATGTAGTCTATGGTACAGCCCTTTTTTATAAAATTGTTACACACCCAAATTGTCAAAGTAACGAGGTTATATAGATCAAACGGCCCAATATTTTTGTAGCCCACCTTTTTTGATTTTGTGTTCAAATCATCCAACGATCCAAGCGGAAAGCAAATGGCTATTTACGAGTTTTCAGTACCTAATTAAATAGACAAAATTTGACGAGCTCCAGATTAAAATATCACAATTCCGAGAATTTTCGTAAATAAAATATTTAGGTTACGATGAGATGAAGTTATTTACGAATTTTTAGGTGGATGTTAACAATTTGATAAAAAGGGGTCTGTACCAGGGAACAATATTTAAGCTTGGGGAGTTGGGAAGGATAAATATCGATGTGGGATCAAAGACCAGTCTAATATGGGCAGAAAACCTTAGTTCCTTTCACGTGGTCCGATAATAATAGATGACGAGTCCTACATTTTCAGCATTCAGACACCCCTAAGACTGATCGGACCGCGTTAAAAAGCCCTTATGATTGATATGGTGTTTTATAAAGCAACCTGATGTATTTGGGCCAACATTAATTAATAAATACAACAATATTATTATATTTAGAGATGAAATATTATGTTTGGGGCATTGACTGGACTAATTCATGATAAGAATGTCATTCAGAAATTATTATTTCTAAAGAAATATGCCTTGGGATCCCTTACCACACTCTGCATGTAGTCCACTGCAGCCGTGTACTGTTCCCGACCAGGAACACCGTAGTTGCGTTGCCAATCATCAACCAGCTGATTCTTGTCAATGGCCAGGCCGAGGTACTTGGGGGTAACTGCCACGAAGATTATCAAAGCACTTTCTCCAATGAGAAGGACAATAATCCCAAATATAAACTGAAAAGTTGTGATAAAAGAACATTATAAAAATCAACGCCAATGACGCAAGTAGTTCATTAATATAAATATTCATAAGGCCTTAATAATATTAAGAGTTAAGATTTTAGGGGATATTTGATTCAAAAGGGGGAACGTGCCAGAATGAATTATGAGAGGAATATGCATATTAATAGGCTGAATTCTGTAGTTCAAGTCTACAAGGAGTTTTATCGTATTACAGAAGCTGAATAAATAAGGAAGGATAATGTTACTATAAGTCTGAACAAGAATTAAAGAGGGATAAAGCTTATTTTTAACACGATGCGTAGACATACATTGAATGTGTCTGGAGAACCTAAAGATGAATTTCATACATAAAATAATTCATATAATACATAAAATATAATTTAACATCACTTGAAGTTTACTGCAATGCCTTTCATGTACCACGGAATCTTAGTCAATGAGAGGAAGAAACAAGAGCAAAGAGAAAAGGAGCTGCTAGAATTTTAGATACAAGAATATACAAAATCTCCTGGTTTCAAGGGCTATGATGGGTTTTGGAAATTCCCCTATTTATGATTACTCCAGAAAAAAGGTATAGGAAGACAGCGCTGTGGGAAACGCGAATACCAGGCGGTATGACTGAGATTACCGAATAGTTCGCATAATATTTATGTTGTGTTCCCCCGAAATAAACCACCATAGTCTAATTCCGGTAGGAAAGAGTGGCGCCCTTTAGGAAGGCGTCAGTGATTGGCCAAAGTACCAGTATACTTATACAATACATTCAATAACACTACCAGTACACATACATAATAAATTCACTCAGTATGAAGATTTTTAAATGAATCTCGTACCTCTAGATGTGACCTCGAAAGCATCAGTACTACTACTCCAGCATTTCTCTCTGGCATCATTCAATCCATGTGTGATTGACAAATAGTCTCTACGTCAATTACTAATGGCAAAGAAAGCCCCGAAAGATTTGACTGAAGAAGCAGTCCTTTACCAAGACGATTTCTTAATATTCATTCGACTAAAATTAACTTATCTCATAAGCTTTGTATTTTCTATCCTTACAAGTATTGGGCGCCCCAAACCGGAACTTGTGTTATGGAAAAAGTGTAGAAGTCAGAAAGACGAGATCATGTATAACTGCGGTAAAAGGAGTAAAAAGTACATGAGGGAAGACAGAATGTATTTGTGGCTGTGGTTAGAGTTAAGTCAATTTAACTTGTCTCAGTATTGTGAAATGGAAGGGTAAACAGTTCATTAATCCTAATATTGCTTGGTGTTAAAACAGATGTTACTCAAGAACCGAGTCCTCAAGAACATAAACAAAACATAGCATACGTTATGCTTGAAAATTTAAAATATAGTGATGCACTAAGGCTTCCACTTACCAATGCAAACAAGAGCTTGTTGAGGAGAGCAACGGCAGAGCAGGATAGGAGAGCCAAAGAAGCGATGACGACCCCAAGGATGATGACAGCGAAGGTGAGGTAGTAGAGGATCGGCCTGGGAAGAGATCCATGGAGCAGTTGGCTCAAGTTGACGTAGTCCGCTTCCGAGGCCAGCCACACCCCGCTCCACATCAAGCCGCAGCCCAGGCCCTGAGGCACAGACATCGCTCATCTATATCCGTGTATCTAATCGAGTTAGGTTAGTTCTGATGTATGCAAAATGTCGACTCATTAATATAAAGATGAAAAGTTTTGGAGGACTCAGAGCAATAAGTCCTACAAGTATAGAACAAAGACGCTCTAATTCTGCAAGATGCGTAACAGCAGCTACAAATTGCTTTGTGAACTCCCGAAATAATAGGGGTTTAATTATTAATATCAGAAAACCCTATAATAGCATAAATAATAATAGACAAGAACAAAATATTTATACTGAACGACCATCGGAGGAGCCCTAAAAAAAATATTTTAGGGGCCAAATATACCACGGTACTAGAAAATACAAAATAACGATATTCGGGACCCTCAAAGGTGGGCCCAATCATTCTACAGCTATAAAAAGTATAAAACCATTATGTTTGGGGCCAAACATACCACAGTACTATAAAAATATAAATAATGATATTCATGGCCCTCAGAGGGACCCTTCCCATCCTCATCATTCTATAGCGATAAAAAAGTACAAAACATTTTTGTAACGGCCCCATCATAGGGACTTCAAAAATTTACGAAAATAAATTAATACAAAACAATTATTTTTTTGGTACCGGAAAAATACAAAACAATTATTTTTTGGAACCAGAAATATATAAAACAATTATTACCCTCGGCAATCGCCACCTAGCCGACCTGGCCAGACCGTTCCTGATTGTATTGTATCTTGGCTAAACATGGTATAATTTTTTTTTTCGGTTTGTAGGGAATTTGAACATCTTTCAAACTCCATAAACTATATAGCACCATTAATAGTATACTTTTTGAGTTAAGAGCAACTAAAATATCCTTTGCTTTTTAATATGTTATCCTGATTTTTCTGGAGGTTCTGCTTCCTTTTTTACCTGAAGGATAAGACAATCTTCAAAATTATGGCTCATTCATTGGATTTGATGAAGAATTAACAAAGATATGGCGTTTTTTTATTAATTCAGAAATATTACAATCTGTTACAATTGAGGACATTTATAATAGTATTAAGAGAGCACATTCATACTTGGAAGGAAAGGCAGGACTCTAGGAGATCCCAGTTTATCGCACTCAGCCGCATTACTTGTATTAAGGCCCAGTAGAGGCTGAGGAGAGGTGCTATAATAATACATACTTGGCTTGAGTGGAGGATCTGGCCATTGCCAAAACTCCAATATATGCTTCTTCACAAAAGGTCTCTGGGCCACTGCCGCTTCAACCTTCGAGGAGGATTGTAAGGGTGAGTGGTGCTGGATAGTGATTGTACAAGGGGATTTGGATGATAAGTAAGGTTCTGGTGAAATTTGAAGAATTTCTCTGGGATAAGGTCTACGACAAATGAGATATTGAGGTCATGGTGTTGGGTTTTTTTAGTTACATAGAATGGAGCATCAAGTATTATTCGAAGGACTTTAGATTCAAAGGTTTGCTTCAAAGGAAAATTTTGCTGTCCCCCACAGTTCAAGTCCGTATGTCCATATAGGTTTAGGATGGTCTTGTAGGTAAGTAATTTGTACCAAAAATCAAAGTACCATTAAAGATTTCAGTCATTTCATTAATTTATTATTTTTTTATAACCGTAATGTTTGTTTAACTAAGCAATACTGGCAATATGGCCTTCATGACATTACATCTCACGTCACCACAGACCTAACGTTACATTTTCAATGGATACCGGTGTTATTAAAGTTCTTCCTTTTTATATAATCTCATCTGTCATGAATCATTTTGTATAGGCCGATTTGCCAACTTTTGTCATATAATGGGTTGGGGATTTCTTAAAAATTACGATTCCTGGAACTTAGAGAAATGTGAAGAGCTAAGTATTCATTATATGTGTATTGTTCTCTTATTGTCAATCTTAATGCATGGTGAGCCGTTAGAAACGTTTATAAGCATCAAACTTTAAGATATCTAGGAATAGTGGACATTAAGAAATTGTCTTGACAAGATCATGAATTGGTCACACTGCCTTGCCATGCATAGATAATAGGAGGCCTGGAACCACCCTTCTGTGTCACATGCAACATAACACTAATAGTCCACAGTAAAGACCCCTTCTTATCAAATTATTAACATACGTTATAAACCACGAGAATGGTTTCGTCTTGTCGTAAGTTACAACTATTTTATCTACGAAAATTCTCAGAAATGGAACATTTCCTCATTAAATTAATTAATTAAACACTAATTATTCATGTACACTCATTTGCTTTGCAAATGGATCGTAAGATAATTTGATTTCAAAACCGATAGTAAAGGTGACTTGGTATAAAGTTGACGATAGTAAAATATTGGGCTGTTTGGTCTGTATAACCTTGTTATTTTGACATGTTAGAGGTCACGCCAAACGGCTCAATATCTTTGAAGGCCACTTTTTTTTATCGATTTCGTGATCAAATCATCTTACGATCCACGTAGAAAGCAAATGGGTATTTTCGAGTTTTTAGTACCTAATTAAATGGACAAAGTTTGCCCCCTTCCAGATTGAAAACGCCCCAATTCCAAGAGTTTTCGTAAATAAAACAGTTGTAGGTTACGATGAGATAAAACTATTTATGAAGTTTCAGGCGGATGTTAATAGTCCGATAAAATGGGATCTGTACCACGGACTAATATTGTAACTAAAATTGTGAAGTATTTTGCCTTAATTTTAATAGCACTCTCGCTCAATCTCCACTGGGTTTAGCCTCAGTGAAGCGGTTGAGAGAGAAGTGCAGGGATCCCCTGTAGTCATGATTTTTCCTCAACAGTTGGAGGGACAAGTCCGGCTCGGAGTTCTCTCGCCTGATTGTAAATAGTGTATATAGGTATGTATGTGTTCTTTTATATGTAATTTTCTTCTTTTTAGTTCTTTTACTGTCTTTTGTTTATTTATTTTTAGGTTATTTTATACTTATTTATTGCATATATATATATATATATATATATATATATATATATATAATATATATATATATATATATATATATATATATATATATATATATATATATATTATTTTTCTTTTTAATTTATTTTTTTATTGTCCATGGAGTGCGAATGTGATCTCTGAACACTATTATAAATGTCCTTTGAGACAGATTGTAATATTTTCAATAAACAAGTTTAAAAAATATATATATTTTTTTATTCACAATAACAATTTTTTTTTACCAGTCTTGGTCTTGGTTTTGAAAAGTGCAAGACCAAGCCCGATTTTGGGCAATACTAGTAAGGGCATCATACCTGGGGTTTGCCTTTTTCTCATTAACTACTTCGATTTATCTGAAAGCTTTTTTGTTTTTTTTTCTTGGAGTGTTTTTAGATTATGATTTGTCTGTTTTTAACCTGTATTGTTAAAAGAATTGCAAAATTTAATGGGTGTCAGCTACTGGGGCCTTATAGTGGGTGTTTTTGACTGGCCTGTACTCGTCGAAATTCATAGAGATATATAAAGTATACCAGGTCTTCAAAATGTAACATCCACAATGCTTTAAAAAAAAATTGATAGTGATGTAGATTAATTACAAAGCAAAAATAGGTTTTCCTACCGCCAAAAACAGGTTTTTGATAGTGTCCAGCATTTACCGAAAAATTTAAATGGTGAAACGCAACAGTTAGTTGTATATCAAGTTAAAGGTAATTTTTGTTAATCTTAAGAATCCAAATGAAGAATATTAAATTTTAACACTTTATTTCGCAATTTGAGTGCTATCAGTGGGTAGTTTCTCAACAAGATATTTCATGTTATTATATTCCTGAGTGCACATTTACTAGTTGTATTTTTTTTTTTATAATACAGTTGGAAAAATCAATGAATAAAAAAAAATAAAAAACAAATATTTCGCATAATTAGGTCCTCGTTCTGCTATTTTACAATTATTTTTTTAAATTAAGATGGATGCGTCATGGCAAGGTGAGAGATAGATGTATAAGACGAACCTCAGAAAAATACAGTAACATCAATATTTAAGTTTTTACACGTAAAAGTCTAATGAAGTTTTCTAAGCATGTCAGCTACTGGTAACCCTACAGTACAATAGTAAATTATTATTATTTATTATTATTATTATTTATTATTTGAAACAGATCATTGTCATCGGCCAAGGAAAAAATACAAAACAGTTCTTCCCACTTAATGCAATGAATCTACTCATTTCCACATTATATTGGCCATTTTCCGCACGGGCCAGCTAGTAATCTAATTATTATTGAACACTGTTTATTGATTTTTTTTTTTTTGTGAATTATTTTAAGTTAAGGACTGCGAAATATTTGAGGGGGTCCTTTCACAATATATTATGGGGGAGGAGAGATAGAGAGACATACATTTAATCCTTCCCTCTCCCCCCCCCCACACACAGAGCGGGCGCTTTTTTTCGTGAATGAATATATTATTTAAAAATAAAATCAATAGTTTTAACTTTTCACCATAGATAAAATCCATGTGCTTATATTTGGTAGACATGTTTTGAAAAATGCGTTATGTTCATCTACATTTTCCAATCCCATTTATATTGTCATTTAGTGTTGCCCAAAATAGGTCTTGGTCCCTTGCACTTTGCAAGACCAAGACCAAGACCGGCTAACTGTTACAAAACCAAGACCAAGAATGGTAAAAAAAAAATATATTTTTAGTGAATAGAAATTACGGCAAAATATTTACTAATACTATAAAATTTTAGTTAATATATGTTAAGAATAAGTAGAACCAATATACTTTTGAATTTAACTCTTCCAATTTTTCATCCGGAGTTAGTTAGGTTTTCCCATTCTGAAAAATCACAGTAACATCACTATAATAATAGGTTTATAGGTAACTGCAAGACTGTTTCAAAACTCTTGCGCAAGGCCAAGACCAAGACTGAGTACGCAAGACCATGACTCGTCTTGGTCTCGCATTTGGACAACACTAGTGTCATTAAAATGATAATATATGCTTAATGTTCTGTTCATGCAATAGCAAGAAGCGATAGCACGGAAAA